CACTCAAATTTGATTTAAATGATATGAACATGCATGTTTCTCATAAAAGAAGGTTCCTAATAAAAGAAAACACTACGTGATGCAATACTACTCTGTCCACTTTGTCTGACAGTTCGCTGGTAATTTTAAGTCCTTTACCCACATTCTCCATTGCTTCCCTTGCAATTACCTTTTTACCCTTTATTTTATATTATTTTTTACTTCATTCATTTTTAGTTTACATACTTAGGACTATAGTTATGACTACTGTTTAATTGTTAAAATGATTAATAATTGTTTAATATTTATTTTAATTTAATTATTAAAAATAATTAATATTTGATAAAAATAGGTAATATTAATTATTTAACATTAAAATTAGATTATTAACAAATATTTTTAAATATTATACCAACTGTTTAAGAAAAAATAAATTAATAAAAATCCAGATAAGTTTTTGGCCCAATAATTTGAATGGTGGCAATAACTTGGCCCTCGTTCTTGGTGTGACAAAGTAAAAAATAAATTAAAAAAAAAAGAGGGTGAATCTATGTATATACAAGTTTTATAAATTATGTTTATGTAAAATTTTGACTATTAATTTTTTTTCTTGGGAAATGATTTTTGTATAATTTTTTTATTCTACTTTTCTATACAACCTGACATATCATTTAAATGATTGATTTTTTTAATTTATGTAGAACCCATGGTATTAAATACATCAACTGATTTAATAACAAATGAAAGTTGTATAAAAAAGTGATATAAAAATATTGTATAAAAATATTATCCTTATAGTATCACCTTTTTTACTTTTAATAGTTGAGATTTATTACAATTTTTTAAATAAAGAGATAATTATATTTAAGAAATATGAATAAATATCAACTATTGAAAATAAAAAGATAAATTATTGAGATTTTATGTAAGTGTGATGTGTCAAAGTTGGTGGATAAGTAAACCACTATTCAACAAAAAAAAAATAATAATTATCTCCTTTAAATTTCATTTTCTTAGAAAATCTTAACTAGGAAAAAAATTGAAGAAAAAAAATTTTGATAC